TGTTCACAGGTTGCCCAAGGAGGCTGTGGATGCCCCATCCCTGGAGGCATTCAAGGCCAGGCTGGATGTGGCTCTGGGCAGCCTGGGCTGCTGGTTGGCGACCCTGCACATAGCAGGGGAGTTAAAACTAGATGAGCATTGTGGTCCTTTTCAACCCAGGCCATTCTATGATACTATAATCTTCCAAAGATGAATAGTGATTGTATTACTAATATCATTTGATATTAGCATACTAATGTAAAACTCCACCAGTATACTTTCATTCAGTTTCTCATTTGTTTGGATCACCAAGGCCCTCATATTTGTTCAGACTAAGTGCAGTATAAACTTGACATTTTACTTTATTCAGGCCTGCTTAGACAACTGTACTGCAAACAATCTTTTATTCGACACCAACTGTCAAAAGATGGTGGGGTCGGTCCTTAGTTTTTTTCCTCCCTTTGTGCTGCTCTACAAGTTACAGGTCTCTGTTACATCCCCACTTACATACACTTTCTTTTCCAGAAGACTTGTTTATGTAAGTCATTTGCTGTACAAAAGCCATTGCATTCTTTTAATTCTCTTTTTCTTGCCCTTTCTTGAACCTTTCCCCATTTTTCTTTTGAGATGGAGGGTAAAACCACGTTTGTGCACAATTTATCAATTTATAGACTGTCTTGATATTTTCTCTGTTTTATTTTTTGCTCCTTTCTTACAAGTGCTTTCTTTCACACTACAGAGATGATATTTTTTCACAGAGAGAGAAGATACATTTCACAAAGAAGATATTTGCATACAACTATCTGTAATAACTGCTGCAATAACTGAGGGCTGTTCTATTTTAAATGTGAAGTTAGGACTGTTTCTTTCCATGTGCACTCCTTTACATTTAGCTTTCCTGGATTCCATCTTCCATTTTTTGCCCAAGACTTTTCTGATTGTAGTTCTTCTCAGTCTGCCTACACCTCTCTAAAAAACATCATATCACGAACATACTCTGACACTGCTTCCAGATCCTTGATAAATGTGTTGCACAATTAGGTTCCAGAATAATCCATATGGGTCTTTACTCTTGAATCCCTTTTATCGTGAAAATGGACTATGGACTCCTACTTTTTTATTTCCTGCCTTTTAACCAGTTATTTACCTCTGTAGTTACTTGTTCCTTGGCAACGTAATTTTTAAGAGCTTTTAATTAATGACCTTTTGAAATACCTTCTGAAAACCCATGTTCAACTTTATCTCTCTTGGCCACAAACTTATTGACTCCTAAGAATTTCACTAGAATTGTAAGGCAATTCTTCGTTTAAGAAAAGCCATTTTGACTCATCCCCATTACAGCATCTTTATGCATATGCTTGCTAATTCTAACCGATCATACAGTTTTTGTTAAATTCCCTGCCACAGACATTGGACCTGTAGTTTTCCAGATTTTCTTATGGCATCCTTTTAAAAAACTGACATTACAGTTAACACATCCCATTTTCCTGCTACCAAAGCAGCTTTATATTAATTGTTGTACGTGAAAGTTTGTAGTTTGGCCTGGAATCATTTTAGAATTTTTCAGTGTATGAAATCTGGTCCCTATTACTTGCTACTCTTCATTTTGCTTATATGTTCAGTAACGTCTCTTACTGACCCCTTCCAAGGCAGAACCCCTGGTGAATCTCACCATAAATAAGGGTCTGTCTTTGGAATTTCATCTAGCTCTGCTGTAGTGAAAACAGATGTAAGTAATTACTTTAGACTTTACATTACTTTTCTCAGTATCCTTTAAATTCTCAGCTCCTTTAAATTTCTTTCCATTTTCCTGGTGGTACAGACTGTCTGGTAAGCTTCCAGACTCTGAAGTGTTCTAAAAGGGATTTATTATTTGATTGCAGGCCTTATGCAATTGTTCCTCAAACCTTTGTGGCCTGTCTCATGGCGTGGTTTACATTTCATCTGTCAGAAGTTAGGATTCTATTTTCGATTTTAGACCCAAATTTATCTTGTGGAGGAATGCTTCTGAAAAGAAGTCCATAGCAACAGGCTCCCTTGTCTCTGCTGCTTAACCACCACGAGTTCCTTTTCCCCTGATAAACATTTGCTCAGAGTCTCTAAAATGGTATCCTTATAGTCTCCCTGTAGATCTCAAACACAGTTATTTTAGCTGCCCCTCTATTTTTATGCAATTTCTTCATTTTTAGGTAGTTTTTTTTGTTGTTGTTGTTATTTTTTTATTTTTAATGAACACATGTATCAGTGGACTTTTTTTGGCTGTCTGTAAGGGTCTTATGTAATGAATGAAAAGTCAATAGAAACAGAACATCTCTGTGCTGCAGTTGACTGTGTGCACAGCACCTTAGAACTCTTCGTTTGCCTTCTGGAGGGATACGCAGTACTGAATCATACTATTGCTTATTGCCATGGAGATTATAACCTCAAAAGCATTTGGAAACACCTGAGAAGAGCTTCTTTAAAGTGCAGGGACTCCAGTAAATCCTTTGCACAAGAGGATATTGGATTTATGCAGGAGACTCATACTGCAGCTGAGTAGCTGGAGCCTATTTAATCTTCCTCGCCAAAATCTCTGCTTCTTGGTAATCTTGTTCTGATCATGTCAAGGGATTCCCTTCCTTCTTCTTCCTCATCTCTACATCATTTCCCTCTTACCCCCTGATGGAAATGCTATTCACCAGCACCCCTGAAGCATATAGATCTGTGGCTGTCAGGGCCTCTAGGGCATCTTGTCTTGTATTCCCTTACCATCCTGGAGGTTTCTCGTTATGGGTTGAACACTAACTTATAAAATCAACTTGAGACTCCTCAAAGGATGACTTTCCCTCCTCTCCTGAGCTGCTTTAAAATTCAAGCTCTCCCCCTTTGTATCTGTGGGTTACCTACGTTACAGGTATGCTTGTGCCTATATTGTCTGATCTTCACCATCTGGCTTGATTTCTGGTTTCAACTGCCCTCTTGCTACAGGTTTGCTGGAAATATGGATTGTTGCCTGAACTATAATTGAATATGAGCTGTTACTGAAATTATTCTGCTCTTCTTGCTTCTGTATTGTGGAATTTGCTGACTTCTCAGCACTCAGCTCTATATTCATTGAATCACAGAATGGCTTGTTTTGGAAGGAACTTTAAAGATCATCTCGTTCCAACCCCACTGCCATGGGCAGGGTTGCCACCCACCAGATCCAAATGTCTGTATGTTAGATATGGAGCAATGTCATATAGGTCAGCTGGCCAAAAGCAGCCGCTGGGAGAAACGAGTAATAAATGGCACAGGGAAGGAGAGAGAAACATTAAAGGAAGATGAAGTAGAAGAACATATATGTGTTTCAACCAATCACGTAAGTTTTGATGGGAAGATCCTTGCTCCTATCCTTGCATCGAAAGGGAGAAAAGATTAGGAAAAGATAAAAAGACAATTCTGGCCAAGAAAGAAGAGAATAGAATCACACTCCTGTACAGAAATGCTGGACAATTATGTCAGGCTGTCATGAGTGAATGGAATTTGCCCAGTGCAAAATTAAGGAAAACAACAACACAGAACTGTTTAGATAAAAAGGTGTAATCAAGGAAAATATGTGTTGACCTACTAACTGACACATTTGCAGCAGCACAAGTAGGTGCAAATTATTATAGTGCTATCCATACCACAACTGTACTTTTTGATAGTAGCAAAGAGTGTGTATAGTGAAGTGGTAGTGCTGTAGTATGTATGTAAAGTGGTATTAAAAAAAAATGTAGTAGTTCTGTGTAAATGTTATGGTCATATCTCTATAGCAGTGAGAGAGAAGAACATGAGTCAGAGGTCTGCCTCAAGTTTCTTGTCAGCAGTAGGAAAACCATGCATCACCTCTGAAAGGATGCATTAACTCTGCTGCTACCATCTGCTCTTCTTTGCCAGCTTAGATGAGAAAAATACTTACATAAAGCAAAACACTTCATATTGTATTCACAATCCAAGCATGCAGTAGCATCTTCATAAGGCTGTTGCTGTAGTGGCTTGTGTGCTTCCTTTGCAGCAGTGACAGGAGTCTGGGCTGCATACCAGTGACTAGAGTTTCTGCAAAATTTGCCCACGCTTTCTTTAAGAGCTTTGGAGCCCTGAACTTTGATGGCTAGGATGGGAAGAACTATTCTGCAGATGAACTTTGATCTGAGGATTTTGTGATAAGGGTGCACAGAATGGAATGCAGACTATGCCAGTAGCGTTTCTCAGAAGTGCCATTTTTCTGAGCTGCAGTTGCTATGGTACTCTGAAGTTACTCAGTATCTAAAAAGATCATCAGCTCTGTAAGGACTGTGTAGCTAGCTCCATTGCAGTGGTAGAAGTATAGAACTGCTCTGCAGACGTACTGTAACCATGACACTGTAAACCTCTGCAGGGAGGTGTGAATCATACAACGGTTCCGTTCACGTTGAACGCTGCAGCATGACAAAGCATGTCGTTCTATGGAGTAATAGCTGGAGCATGACAAGGTTTGTCTGCAGCACGGGCTGTATGACGGAAATCCACGTGTGGGCTTTCCAACAGAAGCTGAAGTTCCAGCACTCGTTTGGGACAGCAAGTACGTGCCTTTACCACCTCCCTGGAGCAGTGCAGGCAGGATGCAGTAGATAGCCAGGTGTTACTTCACACTCTCTTTCCAGAAAAAAAAAAAAAAAAAGCAAAACAACACCTCTTTTGTGCACCGAGCCCAAAGCACGGGACCTTTCTGCTCTTTCCTTTCTGCTTGACCAACAGGCTCTGAAATGCAGCCGGTACAGGGAAGGGCCACAGCCGTGAAGTTCATCGCCAAGCAAGCAGCCGATTTACTGCCAGCGCTAGCATTGCTTTGCCGCTATTACTTTTCCTTCCTTCCTCCCTTTCAGCCTCAAAACTCCCGACTTTCCGTTTATTACAGTGCCGACACCGACGACCCGCTTCGCCCTGCGGACTCCGGGACCGCCCTCACCGCCCCTACCGCCCGCCCCGCCCTCACCCCTCGCCCCGCCCCTCGCGGCCGCTCGTGCCCGCCTGCTCAGTGCGGCTGCGCGCTGAGCTCCGCTCGGACGAGGGGAGCTGTTGGAGCTGAGGCGCGTGCGCGGCCGCCAGGAAGCTGGACCGTGGGGTGGGGGCGGGAGCGGGAGGAAAGCGTTGGCATGGCGGAGGCGCGGCCCAATACAGGTGAGCGTGGTTACTGCGGTCGGGGGGAGTCGGGAAGGGGCCGGTGGGCTGAGCGGGACGCGGGGAGGAGGAGCGCGCATCGCTCCGCGGTAACGTCCGCGGGCTGGAGGGCAGCGCTGCGGTGTTGGCAGCCGAACGCCGGCTGTCGGGGCTGTCCGGGCTGAGCGGCACCTGTTGTTACGTGCAGCCTGCGGTGCTGGAGGTGGCTGCGCTGTGCGTGTTCCGCAGGATGCGCTGGGAAAACTTTGGCCGGGAGCAAACGTGCGAGTTTCAAGTATGTGACGGGCAAACAGGACTCCAAAAAAAAAAAAAAAAGAAAGAAAGAAAAGAGAAAAGAAAAAAAGGCAGTTGATTTCTGGAAAACTTAGTGCTTCTCAGACCGCCATGATCCCCCCGTTGCTCCCCGTGCTTGCCGTGCTCTGCAGAGGGCGGTGCTACTGACCTGCTCCTGTTGCACAGCCATTCATAGGACTGTGGTGTCCAGGCTGTTTCCGTGTAGAGGCTTGCACGGGTTCAAGAGATGTCTGAGGTGCCGCTGGTGAGTATTCGTGTCCCCTCCAGTGCCCTGCTGGTGACAAAGCAGGGCGAGTGCCGCATGAAGGAAATAGGAACCTGGGACGGAATTGAATGCCAGAAGAAATTGTTTTTTTGTTTGTTTGTGTCCAGTGCTGGTTTTTAAGGTGCAGGATTAGATTAACTTTTTGTTTTTTACTGGACGTGGTTGCTGTGGAGGAGGAGCGACCCTTCAAGATGCATATTGCAGCCTAGCATTTAACGACCTGTAGTGTATTATGGGCACTTAGTAGTAGAAGAATTCTTATGCAGTTGTGTCTTGGGTATGTAAATAGGAATAATGCGTGCACGGAGACGTTCATGCTACTTACTGCTTTCATCACATCTTCTGTTTCTCTTGTGATCTGGGTAGACTTTCTGGTTAATCAATGTCACTTTGGGGTCACCTGATCAGCTAACTCCTCTCAGTGATAATGAAGTTGTTAAATTTCTGTCAGGTACAGAGTGCTGGACTCGAATGGCTGGGGATGAAGAAGAAAATACAGGTCTCTGCTTTGCGGCACCCTGAAGTTAATTCAGATTAAGCATATCATTAGTTTATATTTCAGATACTGTCTTCAGTCTTTTCTGTTCTTAGCACCTGGGCTGTGAAGAGGAAAAGGTAATCTGAGTTCATTTTCAATGTTTTGAAAATTGGCCCATGGCCTTCTTGTGGGAAGGGGAATAGCCCATGCTTGGTATGTAGAGCCTGAGAGATTCAACAAAGGGAAGGTAGTGCAGGCAGCTGTTTGCTTGTCTATTCATCTTCTGTGCTACCAGACTGTGAGGCAGCTCTCATTGTCAAACCTTTTATGCTGTGCTGCATATGCATTGGGAATAAAGAGCCCTTAATAGATGTATGAAGCTAAATGGGATTACTTAAAAAAAAAAAAAAAAAAAAAAAAAAGTTAAATTAATCTGAACAATACAATGTTTATGCTTAAAAATATGTCAGCTAACACAGGTATTGTCTGTTCTGGAGTTTTTTCCGTTTTAGGGTAATGCCATGTTGTCAAGCTCGACTCTTAGGTATTTTTGGTTGTGTGTGGATTAAAATGCAAACTAGCTTTTGCCCTGGACTGAGTGTATGATTTTAAAACTTGAAATGTGAAAAATATTTCTGGTCGCAAATTATATCAAGGGAAGCAGTTGAGGTCAAAGAACAGCTGTTTTGGGTCTGGTCAGATGCGTAACCTTTATAGGGTAGTTTGCTAATAGTGAATGGTTATTGAGACCCAGATGATAAGAAAAGTATAAGAAATAAAGCAGTTGTGTGGTGATTATTTACATTTCTATACCTTTCCTTTGGGGGGTTGGACTCAATGATCTCTGGAGGTCCCTTCCAGCCCCTACAATTCTGTGATTTTGATTCCAGTTTCCAGCCCCGTGCACCTAGAAGGCATATCCCAAATGAGAGGTTATATTATTTAATGGTCATTATGGATTTCTTCCCCATGGGTAGCTGTAGTTGCTTTTGAATGTAGCTTAATGCTTTTGCCTTCACAATGACAACTAGTTCTGTTTACTCAGACAGCATAGTATTAAAATAAAGTTATCAGGAGGTGCTGTAAAGTGCCCAGCACAGAGGTTAACAGGAAGTGAAAGCTCATAATGCATTTAGTCCTTAGGAAAAATTTATTCTGTAGTAGATACTCTTAGAATTGAGAGGTTGTATTTCTTATCCCAACTCAATTTTTCTCCCATGTAGTCTTCAAATGGACTGGCCAAAACTTCATCTTCCATTTAAAATGTGGATGCATTGAATTTGGACAAATACATAAAAAGACGAAATCACAGCAAAATGCACAAATAGACTTTGGGTACCAACTGGCTGTCAGGCAGCTCAACAGAGAGGAATCTTGGGGTTCTTGGTAGACAGTAAGCTGACTATGAGCCAGAAATGAAAACCTGCTGCAAAGATGACCAAGAGTAACCTAAACTGCCTTAGAATTTGCCAGCAGGTCAAGGGAGATGATCCTTTCTCTACTCAGTGCTGATAGGGCAGTGTCTGGAATGCTGTATCCAGCTGTGGGCTCCCAGTATAAGGAAGATGGAGCTTACTGGAGACTCAAATCCAGCATAGGGCTATGGAGCTGAAGGCATACAAGCATTTTCATTAGAAGACGGTCTGAGAGAGCTGGGACCGTTCAGTCTGGAGGAGAGAAGGCTTGCACAGAGGGAGTAAAGAATAGGGATTCAGATTCTTCTGAGTGTTATTGAGTGGAAGGCTAAGAAGTAACAGGTAAAAGTTGACATGAAATTTTGTCTGAACACAAGAAAAAGTCTTTTCACTGTGTGGGTTGTCAAACCCTAGAACAGGTTGCAGAGATGCTGTGAAATATTTATCCTTGGAGATACTTGAATCGTGATTGTACAGTTTTAGAGGAGTGTTTGGGCTGTCGGTGGTCTGGAGAGTTCCTTTCCAAACCCAACCATTCAGTAATTCTATGATAATGATATTTTGTATGTTATTCTTTTTCAAATTTCTGGTAAGAATTGTGGGAAGGGAGCATCTCTCTTTATTAAATCATAGAATGGCCAGGGTTGAAAAGCACCACAGTGGTGACCAGTTCCAACCCCCTGCTATGTGCAGGGTCACCAACCAGCAGACCAGGCTGCCCAGAGCCACATCCAGCCTGGCCTTGAATGCCTGCAGGGATGGGGCATCCACAGCCTCCTTGGGCAACCTGTTCCAGTGCCTCACCACCCTCTGGCTGAAAAACTTCCTCCTCATATCCAACCTAAACCTCCCCTGTCTCAGTTCAAAACCATTCCCCCTTGTCCTATCATTATCCACCCTCGTAAACAGCCGCTCCCCCTCCTGTTTATATGCTCCCTCCAAGCACTGGAAGGCCACAATGAGGTCTCCCCGCAGCCTTCTCTCCTCCAAGCTAAACAAGCCCAGTTCCCTCAGCCTTTCCTCACAGGAGAGCTGCTCCAGCCCTCTGACCATCTCAGTGCCCTCCTCTGGACCCGCTCCCAGAGCTCCACGTCCTTCCTGTGCTGGGGGCCCCAGGCCTGGACGCAGTGCTGCAGATGGGGCCTCACAAGAGCCGAGCAGAGGGGGACAATCACCTCCCTCTCCCTGCTGGCCATCTATCACAATTGGAATGAATGTTGAGTTTTGGACAGACAGATCATTTTGCATGAAAATGAATTGCACTTCTTGATTCTTCAAGCCTGAAACAATCTAAGTGCTATTAAAGAAGAAATCCAACCTTCTGTCAATCTGCACGTTCTCTGTAAATTATAGTGTGCTGTAGGTGAATACTGTTACATAAATTGCCCAGAGAAGACAGAAAATATTAAGGTGGTTGTTCTGGGGGCGTTAAACCTCTTCCTCACAAATTGGGAAGCTTCAGAATTTCTATAATGTGCTATTCATGGTGGCTTTTTTTTGTTGTTTCTTTTCCTGCTACAGTGTAATACAGGTGCTATGAAATCTGCATGGAGTGTTTTCTTTATGGCATGTGCATTGAATTCAGCTGATCGGACCATTTTGTATCTGGTCACGTGCAGATCTGACACAAGTAAATTAATGTATACACCCTCTATACTGTCACTGTCTTCAGAAATAATTATTCCTTTAGAATTGTTTTGATTTCAGGACAGGTATGTTCGGTTTACTGGGACTTTTGTGAGTGAGGATATAAGCAGAATTTGAAATGACTAGTGATTGCTGAATTGTCTGCTAAATTTTCTTCAAGGCTGTTGTTTGTTTCCACTTGCAGATAGTTCTGGTACACTTGACTGCAGTTGAGGAAGATGAAGTTCAATCAATACAATAATAAATGATTATGGAAGGAATATATCTTGCCTGAAACATATACATGTGAGCTCAAAGTTAGTAAGCAGAGAGTTCTAGTTATGTGCTAACATATCTAAGTGTTGGGTGGATCTTTGAAAATTTCTACTTCTATTATATTCTCTGTCTTTAGATTTAATTTGGTATTCAGTAACTATATACCTGTCAGCCTCACCTCCATCCCTAGAAAGGTAATGGAACAGCTTATCCTCAGCACTGTCTCTAGGCATATCAAGGATAAGAGGGTTATTAGGGACAGTTGGCATGGCTTCAAAAAGGGGAAATCATGCTTAACCAACTTGATAGCCTTTTATGAAGAAATAATCAGGTGGATAGATGATGGCAAAGCAGAGGATGTGGTCTGTCTTGACTTCACTAAAGCATTTGATATTGTCTCCCACAGCATTCTCACAACGAAACTGAGATAATTTGGTCTGGATGATTGGGTAGTGAGGTTGATTGTGAACTGGCTGAGGAAAGAAGCCAAAAAGTTGTGGTCAATGGGATGGAATCTAGTTGAGTCCTTCAAGGCTTGGTACACAGGGACTGGTGCTATGCAATATATTCATCAGTGACTTGGATGAAGGAATAGAGTGCACTGTCAGCAAGTTTGCTGACCAAACTGGGAGTGGCTGATATGCCA